CCTTAAACGCCCTGTGTCAGACGTTTTAAATATTTATGGAAAAGTGACTCGCAGTACTCTCTCACTGAGACTCGGCGAAGGATCTATTTGTGAACACACCAAGGATTGAACGTTTTCGCAGTGCTCGTAACTTCAGCTGGCTGCGAACAGCAGCAAGATAAAAATTCGCGCGATCCCCGCGTACGTAACCTTTTTGGAAAAACAAACGAGCGCGCAGCGTACTTGTATAGTCATGTTTCAACATGTTACACACATACACATTGCGTATTGGTAAAAACGGTCTCCCCGACGATAAAGTTTAACGAAGACAAAATAAAATAAACTGAAACGAACATTTATCAAAATATGATATGTGGTTCCAAAACCATCGATAAAATTTGCTGCAAATAAAGTAAGAAATAAAACAAAGCCGAACCACCGAGACAATATACATCGATCTCGCGTGACGTTGAGTTACGACCATTACTCTTTCAAAATTGCTCCCATCATCGATAGATGCTTCTTATATCGAGAAGCATTGATACGTAGACCTACGTATCAAGGATTCGAGAATCTTCAGCCTCCAGCCCGTTTCACGGCCCGTTCTCCGAAAGCAACTTATTAATCTTCGAACCTTCGTAATATTCCAAGATAAAAAGATGCGCAGAAAGCGCAGGCTGCGTCGAGCACCGTGCAATCGACGGGGAAAGGAACGGGCACACAAAATCGGCGACGGAGAAAACGACGGCGCTCCACGTGTCTCCGGCGCTCTCTCGGTGTCTCTTCGAATACTCTTTCCTGCGTCTCTCTCCTCTCCTCTCCCTCCCTCTCTCTCTCTCTCTCTCTCTCTCTTTCTCCCTTCGCAAGAAGAGACATTTGGTGCAGACCATTACCCCAGTCCAGGGTGCCATCGGCCATCAGCAGCGCGTTAAAGCCGCTGCAATTACAAACTCCGACAGACTCATCCCCTTTATTCCATCCCGCGCTCCTTCGTCCTCTTCTCGTCCCTCATCCCCACATCGTCTCTACGTTCCTTCCACTCTTTCTCTCATTTTCCCTTTTCGGTCCCTACGCTCCCTCTCTCGCTCCGTCTCTCGTTCGTTCGTGCTACGCTACCGCGCGCCGTCGCCGCTCACCGGCCCCATTTACATTTGCCCACTACTCTCGTAAAAGTAACTTTGTAACCCGTGCGGGCAGTATCCGAGCCAGGATTCCGTCCTCTATTCCGGGGAAATTACATGTCGGTCGGCACCGCAGGCTCGAAAGAAGATTTCCCTTATCAAGCGCCGCTTCCTTCTACCACCCCGACCGTCCTCCACCGCATACTGGATGTCCACTTACACCCAGCAATCAACCCCTTCCGCGCGTACACAGGCGTCGGGAAAACGCGAAACTCCCCACATGTTCGGACGGATTGTTAATTCGACGTCACACGTAGTTGGAATCATTAATGAGTGTGACTAAAGTCGGGATAGACGCGAGAAATGAGCACGGTCGCCGCGGCGCGACGGCACAAGACGCATTTCGCGCTATTGTAATGGAGGTGCACGATTTTTCACAGACAAAGACACTACTTCTACATCTCCTTTCTCTTATTCTTTAAATTTCTTTAACACGTGTAAGGAGTGCTACGTTTAGGGGTGAGTTTTACTGCGTAACAAGGATAATATATCAAACAATTGTGTGGCCTCAACATGCTTTCTTATGATCATCCGTATAAATATTTCTATAAAATTCTATTTAATTAATAATCGATACAAGTCCATGTGCAGTACGTGTAAATTACGCGAAGACGTAATACCAAGTGGCATCTGAAATATTTAACCGCGACAATCGTACGTATCGGTTTCCGATGCGAGTGTAACGATGCGCGATGTTCCGGTATGTTGAGAGATTGCAAAAGAAAACTATGTCAAGAAACGATAATATTTAAGTGGTCGAATAAATCTGATGCCAGAATAATTCTGCGCGCGCGCAGAAATTTACCGTGAAATCATTCAGAAAATATCGGAATGGTTGCACAATCGCAATGTTTATTCATGCTCCTCGAATGTAACGTAGCAGGCACTGGAGTAAGATCGGAAATTCCTGCTATTTGTCCTGAAATTGTCGCACATGTCAGCCCATCGATATTCTACGCTTAGAGCGATTAAATCATCGCACGCTACCGCGACCACAGCACCACCGAGACGTGGACGTGGATTTTTAAGGTCAATTTACGCAGCACTTAATCGTGCGAGAGCGTGTGCTGGTGTCAATGACGTCGGTGTGCGTAATGAAATCGTTTATATCGGCCGACGCAACATTGCCCGGGTAACTTTTAATTTCCTTATCAAACACACGCAACTTTAGCCCGAGGCGGCGCAAAGTTGCATTGCGGAAATAACAGCCGGCCTTTAAACCTTCGCAGTTTCGAAACTACTCCCGTCGAAATTAAAAAGGAAGAAAACGCGGGTGCATTCATTGGCCGATTCTTCTTTGCGAACTTTCACACTGCGGCAGTGTTATTCGTCGTAAGCTCGAGATCATCCCCTGTACACGGTAGAGCCGATATAAAGCTCCGCTAACGTTATGATCACTGACGACAACTTGACGATATCCCCCCGTCGATTCGAATGTCGCTTGAACATCCCCACCACACACGATCATTCAATCTGAAAATTGAAAGCATGATCTCCTGACATTTTTTCTCGTCGCGATGTCTACAAGCACACACTTCCGTCCCTGCGAAATACAATATTTATATCTTTGACACCAAGTGCCGCGCGCGCGCGCGCGCGCGTATACCGAAATATGTGTCGCACTTTGGCACGCCCGACACGTTCATTCCGGATCCGCCCATAAAACAAACCTCGATATTTTCCCAACGGCCGATGACGATTGTTATTCCGTCCCAGGAGATCTCCTTTAATCGATGATTTATCTACAGATTTTCGCGAGGTCGAGCAGATAACCGTTTTAGCTTTTATGCTTCCCTCGCTCGTCGATATCTTACGACAGTCACGGCGCCGTGTTCTCATCGGCCCACCGTGGAAATCTCTCTTTAAGTCCGGCGGCTCAAGTATTTAACCCCGCGATAATAGTAACGGCGCGATCGGCGATTCGATATATATATATATACGTAGTAACGTCGAAGGCGCGCACGGCGCGGCGCGGCGCGGCGGGGCTATACCGAGATCATTGCGGTTCGATTGCTCGGCGAGTCCGGCGAGTAATACGCCGGGTGCCGCAGGGATTACAGACACACAGCTACGAATTTATGGAAGCCAGGAGCAACCCCGTGTTCTCGACGAACTAGACGCCAGCGAATACGTGTATGCATGCGCGCATTCTGCGCACCGGTTGCGTGTATATAAATGTACGTCGCGGACCCTTTATGACCCTTTACGAGATACGCCGGCTACAATTAGGTTGTTTCTCGGCTGCGTACACGTCACGTGAGCCGAAGGAAATGTCGAGTGCGAAATATTCATGTTAAAAACAGGTAGAAATTAAGGTGCTCCAGTCGGCGGCGGAAGCCGAACGGACGAGCGGCACGCAAACAGCTACGATATAACGACGGCGATGTCTCCTCGCTGCGCAGAGGATGCGCCGGCGGAAAAATTTGGATTCTTATCCTGCGAAATTTCGACATAATACTCCCACGGATACGAATCTCGAGAGCGCGGAACGACTCGAGGACGGAATAAACGTCGTATATATATATATATATATATATATATATATATATATATATATATATATTGCATGCTATAATAATGATATTGCACGCCGGGGCGCGTATACCAGGGTTGCGTGCGTGCGAAGAGATTATTTGACCTCTCACCTTATTCCGTGAGAACTGCATCTTTGCACCTTCGTAACCTCGACACGCGAATCGAATCTAAGAAAACCCACCGGCGGCTGGAACTCATGAAACTACGGGCGAACTTTTAGTTGGATTAGTAACTTGGTGCGTGCTTATTGTTCTAACGAGTATCTATAATATTTGCGAGAGCACGATTTTCACACGGCTGTTGCGAGGATAAGGAGTAAATCACATGTGTCTTGGATGCCATTTGGCTGTGATAGGCTCGCGACAAATATCTAAACGTACGAGACAACACGACAGGATCATCAACGTATCAACTAGTCCGCAAATGTCACAGTGGAGTCGATATATGGACAACGATGGGTAAGATTATCTACCGCACAAAGAGTGCTATCTCACGTTTTATCACCGCGACGAGTCACAAAGAGAGCTAGCTAAAGCTACCCCTCTTGGTAATGAAAAAAAAAAGATCGTCACGCACGTCCTGGTTTTATTGAAAAATATTGGGGACAGCGGCTGCAGAGTTATCGCAATTTAAGAAAGAGAACGAGTCAAAATGAACCCGGGCGGAACAACAGCGTAGAGAAAGCCGGGAGGAATCCGCTAGGAAGCATCCAGTGGGTCGACCGGTAGCAAGGGTAGTTGGTGAATCGCAGGATACCGGCTCTACGCGTCAGTACGCTGTCAGAGGACGCAAGCGCGCTCGCACCCCTTATCGAGTTCGAGAGCAAAAGCGACGGCTGCCGGTAGTGGTGGCGATGGGATGGTGGTGGTGGTGCTGGTGCTGGTGGTGGTAGTGGTGCTGATGCTGGAGCTGGTGGTGGTGGTGGTGGTGGTGGTGGTGGTGGTGGTGATGGTGGTGGTGGCGATGGTGGTGGTAGTGATAGTGGCAGTGGTGGGGTAGTATGGTGAAGGTGATGGTGGTGGTGGTGTGTATCCGTACAGATGGGTATATATGGAGGGAAGATACGAAGGAAGGGTGGAATGGTTGTAGGTGGCGGCACACAGCCGAGTTAGGAGATAGAGGGGATCGACGGTGAGGGAGAACGAGACAGAGAGAGAGAGAGAGAGAGGGGGGGGGAGAGAGAGAGAGAGAGAGAGAGAGAGAGAGAGAGAGAGAGAGAGAGAGAGAGAGAGAGAGAGAGAGAGGGGCAACGAAGTCGACGGAAGGGAAGAAAGACGAAACGCGAGCAGGAGAGAGAAGCGACGGAGGGTGGCGGGTGCAGCTACGAGTCGGGCGCCGCAGTGTTTGTCAGTCCTTCGTATGGACATCACGTTCGACGAGACTGATAGTACCCACCGGTATTGGCATCCGTATATACGCGTATACGCTTTTGGCGGCATCCATCATCGTCGATAGCCAGCAACGTCGATCGCGCGTCAATTCCGCCGTAGATGAACCCGCGGTTGCACGCGCCTTCGCGATCTCCGATACCGTCGTCGTCGTCGTCGTCGTCGTCTCGCGCGTCTCGTCACTCAGTCCAGCGGACGAGCGGCGTCGCGAGATTTCTCCGGACGGCCGAGATGTGAAGACGTCGACTTGGAAGCGATGTGGCTTCCGTTGGTGCTGCTCGCCTTGATGGCGAGCGGTTCCGCCTGTCCAGATCTCTGCGAGTGTCATCAGAGTAATATCGAAAAGGACACACCGGTATTGTCGGACGTTGCGTGTCGTGGACGCGTACCCGGCTTATCGGAGATACCAGTGGCAGCGAGGAGTTTGTCACTGGACAGCGTCGAAGGTTCCGAGATCGCGATCTTTTTCGACGAGCTGGAGGCTGCCGACTTGGCGGACGATTTCGAGATGACCGGTACCCTGGTGGACCTCGTGACGAACGACACATCGGGGGATGCGACGCGCGAGATTCTGTCGTACTTAACCGAGTTCGCGGTGACGAATTGTTCGTTGGTGTCTTTGAACGCGTCGTGGCGCGGTTTCGAGCGCTTGAGAGCACTGAATCTGTCGTACAACAATTTGCTGCGACTGAGGGACGTGCTGGTGATTCGGGCGATGAATCTCAGCGAGCTGGCGTGCCTCGATCTGTCGGCTAACTCGTTGTCAGACATCAGTGTCGGGACCTTTAGGACGCTCGTCGGGCTTGTGAGACTGAGTTTACGCAAAAACGCGATCAGCACGGTCGACGAGGACGCGTTTCGCGGCCTGGACCGGCTGGAATTTCTCGATCTGTCGGACAACAGGTTGGCGGACTTGCCGGATAGCGCGCTCACGCCGCTATATTCCCTGCAGAAACTCGACCTCAGCGGCAACCAGCTGCAAGTTCTGGGCGCCAGGTGGTTCGAAAGTCTCGACAGATTGAGAGAACTCGATGTTTCGCGAAACGGATTGGCCCGTGCGGCCTCGGGAACGCTGCAGCCGTTATCGGGACTGTCCGTTCTGAGACTCGCGGAAAATCCGCTGAGGGAGAGGGACGTATCCTTACTATTGGGTACCGGTAGACGACTGGAGACTGTGGACGCGTCCCGCACTGGATTAGCGAGAGTCCCGGCCGCTCTCACGAGATCGGTCAGGGCCCTGAGGCTCGCCGGGAATAGACTGACTACCGTTCGTAGCGGCGATTTGGACAGCTACCCCCTGCTACGTATGTTCGATATCGCTGACAACCGTCTGGTGGATATCGAGAACGATGCTCTAGGACGGCTGGAGGTTTTAGACGAGCTCGATCTGTCCGGAAACGTTCTCACGAAGGTGCCCGGGAGTCTGCCCAGCAGCCTGACGGTACTGAAGCTCCAGCGAAACGCGATAACCGCGCTAAAGCTCGACGATCTTAACGGATTGTACAATCTGCGATCGTTGATGCTGAACGATAATGACATCAGCGTCATCGAGGTGGGCGCGCTCGGTCAACTGCCCCTGCTCGTGGAGCTCGATCTATCCGATAATCCTATCAAAGCGTTACCAACTAATACCCTAAGTGGACCCAGTAATCTAGCCAAGCTCCGGATGTCGGGTCTGGTGTCGCTTCAAGCACACCAAGAAGAGCAAAGTGATATGGCGTTCCCGATACCGACGCCGGAGCGGCTGATCATGCTGGACGTGTCGCGAAGTCCGGTACTGGCGGGACAATTATTGGCGGACGACGCCGCGCTGTCCGCCTGCAAGAGCCTGATAGAGCTGAATCTGTCGGCGACCAACATCAGCGCTATCAGGTCCGACCTCGCGTACATGCTGCCGCAGCTGCGCCTCCTCGGACTCGGAAGAAACAATTGGGATTGCACGGAGGATCTTTACTGGTTGGGCGAGTGGGTGAGGCAACATCGCGAGTCGAAGCAACGCTTTCCGGCGGCTCGATGTGCCAGCCCGCGAGAACTAGCGGGGTTATTTCTGTACGAGCTGCCGCCGTCACCGCGGCCGCCGTCGCCGCCGTCGCCGCCGCCGCCGCCGCTGCCGTCGAATTCCGCCTCCGTAACTACCGCGGAAACTGTCGCGGCAATCACTTCGGTTAGCCTGTCTGTCATGTTCACGCTCGAACATACGTCGCATACTGATCAACCGAACGTCACGGTGTCTTCCAATATCGACGACGCGAATTCCTCCCACAACGTCGCGGATCTTCCCACGCTGTCGTCCGTAACGTACGCGACGGCCGTGCCGAAAACGGAGGGTGCAGCCGAGAACTTGAACGTTCTCGCCGCGGAAGCCGCCCCGACACCGTTGGCGACGACGGCGACGACGGCGGCGGAAAAGCCGGTGCCGCGGGTCTACGAGGCGCCGACGTCCTTCCGGAACGTCACGTCGTCGATCATGGCGCGGACGAGCCGGGAGCCGAGTCGGAGGAGCGATCAAACAAATCGCGTTCTGACGATGGATCAGAATTTAATCAAGCAGCCTGCCATCTCGTCGGCCTCGCACAGACGGAACAACCCCAAGCCATCCGTTATGGCAACGAAGGACGAGACGTATTCGCAAACTTTTGATAACCGGGCGGATCGCGCGGCGCAAAGAAACGGAAAGATGAGCAAACTTGCCGCGTCAGCCGGCGAGATCATCTCCCCGCCGGAGTCCTCCTCGCAACTCGGGCCTAAGCGCGGCGCGAGCGAGGGCGCGAGAACGCTCGAGAAGCATCCGGCAGAAACGAGCAATACGACGAAGGAGAACGCGGTGCTGGACGCTCGTGGCTCTAACACGATAGCGGAGGAACTGAACGGCCGGGCGACCGATTCCGGTGCCCGAGTGTCCGAGGCTCTATCCGCCGGTGCTCATCCCGGAATGTTGGTATTAGCCGGCGCGGCTCTGGGCGCCGTCGCGGCGCTCTCCGTCGTTCTCTCGCGTAGGGCAACGGTCCACCGGACCGACAGGTATCACCGCCACGAGAACATTGAAGTGCACACTCTGACGCCCACCACGGAACTTTGGTGACCAGAGTCGGAACACGTTCGTCTGTTCGAGCGAGACAGGCAGAGACTGGACTCCAGCAACCGCGACGGGGAAGCGGCGTCGGCGATGCCTCGTCGACAGTCGACGAGGTCACGGCTGATCGATGTGTGCTTGAGGCAGATCCTCAAGTAATCGTTTTTAATATCGGAGTGATCGAGGACGGGCGTGTGCATCTTGTTATTGTGATGACGATGGGCTCGCGCAAGTGGACCCGCTAAGAGCGCGACGGCTAAAGTGTTAATCGGAAAGTTGGGAGAGAGGACCGTGGCTGCGGAAACCACGGAGTACGGACGAACGGCTGAACGTCGAAGTTGGGAACGAGATACTCCTCGAGCTAATCCGTATCACTTCAGAAACCGCCAATACGTCACGGATTACGGAGCAATATCCGGAAAAATAACAAATTATTCAAGCGTGACTTGGAGCCGCGATCCGCGAACGATCCAGGAGGGGGCAGTATCGAGAATCGTCGAAAATCGCCAGTGCATAACTAGGAAGACTGACTGACTGACTGACTGACTGTTCGTCACGAATGTCTGACGGATATCAAAATATGTTGCCTGTAAAATTTTACCCTCTGCGCTCTCTCGTGCCCGGCTTGTCAAATCTTTGGAAAAAAAAAAATAGTGCATGGCGGTGAAAGGGAAATTATACACCCGAGTGTCATCCGACCGACAATATGTGCATGTGTATTCGGTGAAAATCATTCGACGTTCACGACGTCGAGCTCCGCCGGCGACAGCGAAGATGTCGCGCGCCGCTACCAAGACGCACCAAGGAAGCAAAAGCGAGGAGAGAGAGAGAGAGAGAGAGATCGCCGCGCCATTTCATATAAATTCCGACGTATACAAACACACATCGGAAACTGTAACGCGCAACGTCCGCAGGGAAATACCGAGCGTGTGTATTACAAGCTAGAGACTCGGAGAAAAATTATGAGCGAGAATTTAACACAGCTACGGCGTGTCGAACGTGATGCTACGGAGCATCGGACGCTGCGGGAAACCTCCATCTTCTTCGTGCTAAAACGCCACTCGTAGGAAGAGACGCGCAAACAAGAACGACTTAATGTCATCGCAGACGTGTCACGATCGAATGATTACGGGCGAGCGGGCTTACCGATTTAGCTAATTGGCTGGGGTCAGACCGATTAATTATTGGACACAGTGACAATAATAATGATTACACGCCGCGTCTCAAGAGTTCGGCTCTTCGCGGTACGCTCAATTCCTGAGAAGACTATATTGTGACTGAGAAATGAAGTGCGAGTGTAATAAAAGTAGGAAGAGAGCATAATGGTAGCGAGAAAGATAGAAGAAGCAGGTAGGCCAACGCCAAAATAATGCGGAATGTAAGGGCGAGAAACTTGCGGTGGCGAATAGTATGCTTGAAATGAACAACCGGACGGGAAGTGAGAGCGACTGTGTCTGACGGAAGAACTTTTATCGAACGGCGTGTGCGTGTGCGTGTGCAAGAGATTGAGAGAGTAGAGTGTAAGAGAAAGAGAGAGAGCGAGCGAGCGAACGAGCGAGCGAACAAGAGAGAGAGAGGGAGAGAGAAAGAATGAGAGAATGAGAGAGTGAGAGAGAGAGAGAGAGAGAGAGAGAGAGAGAGAGAGAGAGAGAGAGAGAAGATATTCGAGAAACCGTTCTCGAGCGCAGTAAAATGAGATGTACAGAAACGTTGCTTTCGTAATTCCACTAAGCTTGGTGAGCTATCAAGACTTCTTAACAAATACAAAAACGAAAGAGAGAATGTATGAGAGAGAGGGAGAGAAAGGGAGGGAGAGAGCGAGCGAGAGCGAGAGCGAGAGAGAGAGAGAGAGAAAGGGCGAGAGAGAAAGAGAAAAGAGCGTGCGCACGAGCGAGAAAAAGCAGATAGACAAATAGCGAAGAGGCTAAATATTATCTTTCTTAAAATAACCAGTGTCAAAGTACCGCTATAATAATAAACCGATGTACAAAGATGCATGTTTATCGATCTTTTTTCACGTTGCCTTCGTAGAATTATTATTTCTCCCAATATTTTTCACGAATGAAATAGATATCCCGTGCATATGCAATATCCTGCAGAAAATATACAGATGGACGTTGACACGCGCATAAATATTCCGAAGAAAAATTTTACCAGCAGAAAGATATACATTTCAATTTACATAATTGATCATGTATATGTATATTGCAAAAACATACACATATAATCTTGACTCTGTTTCAATAATAGGATAAGTTTGTCAGCTCGTGCTTTTTTATGTTGCTTCGACTATGGATCAGATGATACGAGTTTTTAAGAGTTTATTTTTTATCGCAGATAATTTTCAAGAAAATTCGCATCTGGAAAATGGCATCAGAATAATAAACAGGTAAGTAACTTATTGTTAATTGCTCTGCATACATATTTGTGCTTATCGCAATACGGCTCAAATGTATCACGTCTTTTCTCGAGTGCCCTGCAATTTAATTCATTAAAAACCTCGTATATTTTCTTAATTGCTCGTAATATAGAATTAATTATCACAAAGAATAACCTTTACATAACGTTATTTATATAATTTCCTTAGTACCTATATAATCAGAAGAAAATCGGAAAATCTTTCTTGTTGTAAGATAAATTAAATAATAAAAGCAATATTTTATTTTAATGGTGAATAATGTCAGAAATATTACTATCGTGCCTGACATGCTTTTACTTTGCACGATTCAGTTGAGGAATTTGTAAAGAAGGAGAGAAAAAAAATAACATGCATTGCAAGCTGTTACTCGTCGATAATTCTTAAAATAACGAATAGAAATAAACTAACAGAGGAACAAGGTCCAATATCTAATCGAAATCTAATGCTAATTACGAAAACTATTATGTTTCGTATCGGAAACCAACCACGATAAATATAAGAAGGATTCATCTTCGAATATTTTTTTGTATCTCGTAGAAAATAAATTTTGATTGCTAGATTTAAATTAATGTTGATATGACGATTTTTTTTTTACATTTTTTTTCCTCTGAAAAGGTAAACAGACTTGTAATATCTCGATTTTAATCAGACCCACGTCAATATTCCCACAATATGCTATACATCAATCAGAATGCGAGGCAACATCGAGCAAGATAAACATTTATCGCATTTACTAGGAATTCATTAATACCAACGTTAAAATCCCAAAACTTTCCTTCGCTGAAAGCCTCTTTTCCACAATATTATAATTATGTACATTCCAGAGCATATTAAAATGATCAATTAATTGCATTTGAATGACTTAATAATCGTAATAATAATAGTGGATAATTCAAACTGAAATACGAGACGAGCATGCATAAGTGATAGTTACATCGAAATATTGATAAGCCACACTGTAAGGTCATTGAAAAGCGCTAAAATATACGAGCCGTAAAATCGCAAAACCTCGTATTGACGCGAATGTAATTTCACGGGGTAAAATTCGTAGCGCTGCCGCTTTGCTGGTCCACGAGAGAATTTCTGAATAACGATAACGAGTCGGCGGCGACGGCAATAAGGAAAAACGATACTCACGAAGTATATTGGATACAGCGGGCGCAACCTTGAGACTCAGTTTAAATTTCCTATAAAATAATCGATCGTAGAGAGTGCAACTAGGAAATTTAATCACCGTATAGTAGCTCTCCCTGGCTCAGCCCAAGGCTACGGATCTGGCAAATTCAGTAACATCTTGCAGAAGTTCGTTATCCCTACTTGACTCTGCCGAGCGCGTTGGTTTACCCAGACGCCCGCGCTACCTCGTAATATTGACTTCATCGATGAAAAACAGAATCCCGTTTGGAACTCATCTGCATACCGATCCCAGCGCAATTACTCTCTTCACGCCGGGATATTGTATGGTGCGCGTTATTGCGCCCAACAGCATGGCCACCACCACCGTGTGTGCTGGTCACCGCCGTTCGACTAGGAAAATCATCAAAAATGAAAGCCGACATTGAAAGAGAGGAATTTTTAATATAACCCGTACGAATGGCGCTAATAACACTGCAGAAAGAGAGACGGGGGGAGGGGGGAGAGAGAGAGAGAGAGAGAGAGAGAGAGAGAGAAGGGGGAGGGAAATTGCAGATTTTTATCAAAAGCATTTTTACCTCAAACATAAAAACATACCAGTTGACCAAATATCAAACGAAATACTAATACGAAATATTAATACTCTAATATAAAGAGGGGAAAAAAGAAACAAAATATAATTGATGAGAAGCGTGTACCACAGTTTGATTGTGCAGCGTTCGATACAAATGGGAAGCACCAGAGCTAAGCTCATGTTCCCACGGTACATGTGACACTTTTTAATCTTAAATATAGTTGGAGTTCCAATTACATGCATATTGCACGGATTCGCATTGACGCCAGCCATAAAAAGCATATTGCAATTTCGAACTCAATTGCACAACGATCCCAATACGATCACTCATTTCCCGACGGGAGATTGCGAACTGCGTGTTACGTTACGATACGTAACAATCATTACAGTACGGAAACGCGCTTGAAAAAAAAAAAGAGAAAAAAAGAAAAGATAGTAACATTCATAATCCGCAAGAGCGATCGCACGAACACGAAAGATATGCGAGGCAAAATCGAACGAAAACAGGAAAAAAAAAAAGAAAGAGAAAAGAGAATAGGGAGCATTCAATTTTTCAGACGTTGTTGGCGCGTATTTTCCGACTGCGCGTCTCTCGCACAACTACCACGTCGAAAGTCGCATGTAATCGACGCGACCGAGCGTACTTCTTCGCCTGAAAGCATGGAATATTTATCGCGATAACGAGACCGCCTAGATCCCTTAATAACGAGAGCAAATTGTCTTTGTGCGTTAATTATCATCGTCGAGTGGGTTATTTCCCTTGCCGCGTATCAAATGACTCGCGTATGAATATGGTGGAACGCACTTTACGCAAGTGCCCTCGATTAAATGTGCATAGTTATGTTCGCTGTGATAATGCGGCGACGTGTCAAGCAGGTGGGAGATATTTTGTTACGCAAATTAGCCTGCGTAATGTCTGTTAGCCTATTGTGAAACGGTTTCGCAAACGGAGAACTCAATCGACTCGCTTACTTACCGTTCCATCTTGCGTATTCCTGTGTGTGGCGAATTTACTACTCATAAATTCAACAGGCTTCGTGAAAACTGCATTTTCTAAATTTGCACGCGCGATTCCGCCGCGCGCACGCCTCGCCGCCTCCCGAATATCCGTACTTCGTTTATTTCCGTTAGACCAGCAATTGGCACTTTTTGTCGATTAAAAAAAAAGTTCGTTATGCCGACATACGTGCGCATGTGTGATATAACTGTAACGAACTTTCGTACAGTGATATTTACTAGCGCGGAAGCCGACGAAGAAAAAAAAAGTACCCGCCGGCAATTTTATAAATCGTGATCTTTGTTTTAACAAATCATGGAGCTACGTGAAAAAGTGAAGGGAGATCTAATATCGGACCAAAGAAGATGTCGAACATCTCTCGGTCGAGAAACATTGTGTTTCCTTCACACCAGTGCTCGTAGTAACAAGAAGCGCTTTGTACGTATCTTGTATCTCTTGGTACCTTGTCAATATTTTTAGCAGCCTTTAGCGAAGTCTCTGTACGATAAAAACCGCCGAGACTCGAGGGTCTTCCAGATTTTTCGGCTACGTACGACGATTAGAGTCGCGAGAGTCGCGGTTACGTCCTGCACATAAAAAGTACAACCAGAAGTACTTGACTCGCACCAATTATCTATTATTAAAGATAGAGTTGGCTGAACTAATCTCTACGGCCGGCACAGAAGCACGGGTGTTTGCTGTTTGAACCGGATAGCAGCGAAACGTAACTCTCTGAACGCGGTAGCATTGATCGAACCGCGTCCTCTATGACACTTTCTGTACAAACGAGAGGGAACCGACGCCAAGGTAAACTAGGTCTTCATGGTAGGAGAAGC